ATCAACACCAAATAAAAAAATCAATGCCTATAGCTTGCTCCTCTCATCAAACCTTCTTTATTGTTTGGACCGGTCGGTTCACCGGTTCAACCGGTTGAACCGGTCAAACCGGGAACCGGACCTGAAAACGGTTCAATGACCGGTCCGGTTTTGAAAACATTGGTTCCACCCATTAGGCCGGGTATTGGGTCGGGTAACCGCCAACCCGGAACCTTTTCTAGACGACATGTAATTATAATTATGTACAGTGAACTACTAAAAAAATGGCATAAAAACTCTTAAATTCAAAATAAACAATTATCGTTTGAACAAAAGGAAAAGGTGAAAACAGTTCCGTTCCTCTTCCGATCAAGGAAGCGAGCAGAAAACAAACTTGCGCAGGTATTGTTCTTCTGAAATCCAAAACATTTATGAATCTCAGACTCCAATTTATTCATCTGCACTCATGAATCTCTGTGAATCTTCTTAATATTGAAACTGCTCTTGAATCAACTCCATGTTCCCTAGAGATTGAAATATATCTCTCTGTGCTGTTCGATTCTCTTGATTTTCTGATTTCTCGCTTGATTTCTTACTCTCTGTGGCTCATATTTAGCTTCGGAAACTAGAAATTAGTTGATTTAAAGTGGAATTCGATGATTGCAGAATGATCCATTGAAGATGGTCGGTGAGGAAATAGTTGGTTTGGTACCGTTTTATCAACTTGATTCTGTTGGTAGATGCTCTGGGGATGAATCTTGTTGTCAAACATCGGCCGGAAAATGCAATCATGTTGGAGTTCATCATGTTAAGTCTTCTCCTTCTCCTGTACTCTCCTGTGTAGAAACTGCCCCTCAAGGAGCATATATTTCACGTATTAAGGTTGCTGATTCAGATAAGCGACCCTATGATGAGCCAGGAGATTGTAAAGTCCTACAAGATGTACATATTGTAAGATCTCTCAATTCATATGCAGGAATATTGCTTCAGGAGAAAAGGAAACAGTCTCCTGTATAAGTTTTATGTGGATGATAATTAATAAGAATTTGTTCTTTTCTTGCAGTCAGTTCGATTGATGGAGGATTTTAGTGAACTTGCCAAGGACAATACAGAGAAGGATCTGGAAACTTGTGGGGTTCTCGGTGCTTTTCTTGTAAGATTAATGTCTTCTTTAACACATTCCTGGGAGATTAGTGTTACTTGATGTGGTTAAAATTTGATAGCATCATAGACTGGATAAGAATTTTGTTCGGTGGGCATTATATTAAGGTGAAGTTTTGTTCATGTCTAGCTTGGATCTGTCTAGTTTTTTCAAGTGCAAATTGCTGTCAGATATTCACCTGACTTTACCTAGTCTTAGTAAGATTTGTTATTAATAATGAGTGTGATTCTGCGAAATCCTTTCCAATGGTAAATCATTACAACATTCCTATTAGTAGTTCTGTAAATCTGTATGCTATCTGGTCCAAATTCATTGTCATGGCCCTAATTGAGTTCTTGTGTACGTTCAAAGCTTATCTGCTGTGTAAAATGGGTTATTCATTTATAAATTAGCAATTTGAAGCTTGTTTATGTGGCCTTTGACATGCTAGTTTTTAATCATTATTGCTCTCTCTTCCAATTGCTGGGCAATAATATCTTACTTAACTGAGAATTATCCATGTTCTTTCAACTTAATGTGGCAGGAAAAAGGGACATTTTATGTTACCACTCTGATAATACCTAAACAAGAATCGACTTCAAATTCTGTAAGTCTCAAAGGATCATTCACTGTCTTTGATTCAGCTTTGGATTTTGCTCTTGCTGAGCACCGCTAACTGCCAACTTTTCAACATTGAATGACAGTGTCAGGCAATAAATGAGGAGGAAGTTTTTTCCATACAAAATGAAAGATCCCTTTTGCCTGTGGGTTGGATTCATGTATATCATTCAAACTCTCTTTTATTGTTCTTTTTGCAAAATAGATCTACTCATTTACTTGTGTAAATTTAAGAAGAAAAGTTAAATTATGCAGAGTTGAGTGTTTTTTAATATAAATATGGTTCAGTATTCCCTATAGCTAACATTCACTCTTCATTTCTTATTTATTTTTTCTCAGACACATCCCACTCAAAGTTGTTTCCTGTCATCAATAGATCTCCACACTCAATTCTCATATCAGGTAATGAAGACAAGTATAGTGTATCCCCATTATCGGGATTTGATTTACCTCATCTTAGCTTATGTTTTATTCTTCTCTCTCTGAATTATTGTCTTATATGTACTGTTTTAATGTGGGTTCTACTACCGTGTGGTTAGTGAGGCTGTCATCCCATTTGGTGGGCAGGCATTATTAGCTCTCCAAGAGCTGCTATTTTTTTCTTCTTTCCAGTACAAAAGCAACCAATTGGGAGAAATTACTTTATGAGCACATTGTTGAGATTTCCCATCCTTAGTTTATGGTGGGAAATTACCTTGGTATCATAAAAATGGTGCTTTTGCATAAAGTCATAAACTTTGTCCTATTTGTTGAAATGGTCATAAGAAGACAGAAAATACCACAGTAATTTTGTAGTTGGGTTGTACTTGGAGATGTAGCTGTAAAATGCCATGAAAAACACATTAACTTAACCTGCCTTGCCAAAATTCAAATTTTTGAGTTTGTTTACTTTTCAGTTGATAGGTTTTTTTTTTTTTTTTTTTTTTTTTACTATTTTTCAGTTAATTAAATGATAGTTGCTAAGGATAATATGCATATTGCAGAACCTAGAATTCAATATTTGGAAAATTTTCAAGTTTCATCAAGGTATTTGTGTCATCTTGGCCTTTTGACATTAACAAAATGAAAAGCTGTTTGCCATTTCATTTTCTGCAATACAAAAATGGGAATTTCCCTTTTTTTGCTTTTATTTTTTTATTATCTTTCTTATTTATTAATTTGTTTCCCTTGCCTACCGTGAGATTGCTATGATGAGACGATATCGTGGTGTTTTCTTCCAGGTGATGGTACCTGAGGCTTTTGCTATTGTTGTGGCTCCAACTGATAATTCAAGGTCTACTCATAAGGCATAACTATGATTCAGTATTTGTACAACACAGACTGTAAAATTGTTTGTTCTTCTTAGAGCTATAATTGTTAATGCTTTCATCTGCACATATAGGCTTTAGGGCTACTCGGTTTCCTTTCTTCACCTCCTCCATCTCAGGACCGGTGTTCACAGTCCCAAATTGTTGTTCACTCATGTATTGCTTCCCCATATTAAATACGGATCCTGTTTAACAATATTCTATTGTGAAAAACCTTATTAAAGAAGAAAGAACTGAAAAATCTGACAGAAACACAGACAACTGACTTTCCACTTTGTTTCAGTTTTAGTGAGACAATAAAAGAATTGCATAATATCCTTGAAAAACTATGCATCGGTCAATCATGGCCAAGTTACTTATATTTAACTTGTCAATTTTCTCAGGCATTATGGAATATTTCGGCTCTCTGATCCAGGTGGAATGGATTTACTGAGAGAGTGCCAAGAGAACGGATTTCATGCCCACAAAGAAACATCAGATGGGAGCCCAATCTATGAGCACTGCTCTCATGTCTACACAAACTCCAATCTAAGGTTTGAAATCTTTGACTTGCGCTAAATAACTGTCACTATCCTGAAATGGCATGGGCACATGCAACATGCAAACTCCACAACAGAGTTTGGTTGATAAGTGAAGGGTTTGAAATGGTGCTTCTTTAAGTTTATGTCTGCATTGCTTCATATTACTGTGAATATAGTCATAACCCATAAGAAGGGCAAAGACAGTGCACATATAAGTAATTTAATGGGAGCAACAGATCATTTGCCATGCATTTCATTTTACATGAAACATGGAATCTGTAACATCTAGAAGAAAACCTATTGTTCCCATAAGTTGTAAATATGGTCATTACTATATAGAAAATTCTGCTTGAAAACAGTAAAGACGCTGCTCAATTTCAAGACATATATCCTTTTTCCTGATTGATATCTTTATGTATCCCTAGGAAAAGCTTGGCCAACTCTAGGACATAGATTTTGGTGTGGAAAACATTATACTTAGATTTTGAGATTCTTTAAGAGTCTACAAACTCACTGCTAATTTTAAGGCGCAAGTACTGAAAACAGCAAATTATTCCATTGGAAAGTTTCCAGGAAGTGAAAATTCTGTTGTGGTCCGTTTGGGATATTTATAAAGGTCGGTTAGGGATGGTCCAGTGTGAATTTGATCTGTGTTAGAGAAGTGCAGCAAAGCCAAAAAGGCTTTGGTATTTTGCAGAGCTAGAGAATAAAGTAGTGAACCCCACCCACTAACTCTTCGGAGAGTGTTCAACTGAAAATGGAATGCAATGTGCTGTCCTGTGGAAAGTTGTCATAATCTTTAAAAGTTGAACCCTCTTCCCCCATGGAATGTCTATAGGTAGAAGAAGCTACGAGGAGAGAATGGTTCAAGATAAGTTCATAGATTGGTCCGGCTGGCTTTGATGTGCATTGAAATTTGTGTCTCTATGTGTATTGAAAGTTACACAAAATACTGGTTTGAACAGAAAATGGCTTCAAATATTGTCTCATTTAAGGAGTGAAATCTTACTCTTTTTCTTTTTTACTTTATCCACTCGTACACTTACTACTTAAATACAAAATCTCTTTGTTTTACCTAAAAGATATTACTTCTGCATTGCTTATAATCACAGGCTTTTGATCAATATGAAATAAGATGCCCATTAAATAATGTCTTATTTAATGAATGAGTTTCTCAGCTGGGGATCCTTAATACCCAACCATGAAAGATGACCTCCACTAACTATAATTTTTTGTTTATATATGATGATGAATCATAAAACATGAACTCTCCCTTTTCTCAAAATCCTTATTACCAAAAGAAATTTAACTGAATTAATATTCATTAACTAAAAAATTTTTAATATAGAATTGAAGTCAGAAGTTCAAATTTCTATCATGTTAAACAGCTAATCATTTGAATCAAAAAAAAAAAAACCTCTAATTTAGACTCCTAAATTTTTATTCCTTGAGACACCCCTCTTGTTTACATGACTAGAAGCTTACCTCACCAAAAAAGTGTAAATGACCAAAAAGCTAAAACCAATAAACCGGTCTAATACTTTGGCCGAGGAAAGAAGCATGCGTCACAAATGGTCAAATTGACCTTCAGCCAATATTTAACCTAAAAATGTAATGGTTATATGCATATAAAAAATGTTTTTCTCACGTGTATTTTTATTATTTATTTTATTTTTTATAATTAATTTATATAAAAATATATATTTTAACTTTAAATTAATCAAGTAATTAATTATAAAAATATATTTATTATACTCTTAACTTAAATTTAGACAAACCCATATTAAAACTCCATACAAAGAAATAATTAAAACATGTTATATTTTTTTTATTTATTTGTTTTCTCTCATATGTCTTTTTTAAGGTGAGGAAATTATTTACTAACAAAAAAAGATAAATTGAATCCTTCCTTGCTCTAAATTATTAACAAATTAGAAGAGCATGAGGGCATTCACAAAAAACAAAATGGATCCAATCATCCAAGATTCAACATCAATCCCTAAATTTATCTACTTTGCTTTTATCTTGGTCCAACTAATTTACCACAAAAAAAAAAAAAAAAGAGCAAAGAATTGGCCCTAATCCCATTTACCCATAAATGAACTAAAAAATAATTAATTGAACGAGAAATTGTAACATAAAAAAAAAAAAGAGAGGAGAAATTGTTTACTTTTGTGGACTGGACGGACTATCAAAGTCCAGCCCTACTTAGAGAGGGTCCCCCACGACCAAACAAAGATTGCCCTGCCAGTCCGGACTGGTAAATTTGTCCCCTTAATTGGATCCCAAATTATGATTACGGAATCCTAAAAAGGATGAACATTTCTGCTAAACCCATTCACACTGGTGAAAAACCCAACTAAATCTCGCCGATACGGCAAATACGACTTGCGTTTTTCCACTTCCCGAATTGCCCTTCCCTCCATGTAATGCTTCTCCGCCGCCGACCCCGCCGTTTTTTTCTCCTTCAACTTCAATTTCTTCGCCTTCCCCTTCTCTCCGTTTACCTTCGCCTTCCCCTTTTTTTCTGCCTTCTCGTTTTTCTCGGTTTTCTTGGCGGGTGATTTTGACGTCGACGCATGGTTCAGGAACACAAACGCGTCTTTACCGTCGCTTTTGCTCCTGTGCACCAAATCCCGGAACCTCCACAGCTTCGAGAATCCCGTCGAGTTGCTCTTGTTACAAGCATTCGGCGATATATCCTGCACGTTCCTCCCCGACAAGTTGCTGGGAGGTACCTCCAGGTCCGATGGAGACGACGTTGAATCGCGTCCTTCGACGAACAGCTTTCTCAATGGAGGCCTTAAAGGCGTGGAGCCGTCTACAGTCTTCAACAAGGATTCATCGTCGTCGGCGAAGAGGAGATCCTGGTTAAATAACGGGAATGCCGGCCGGATCTGTCCGTTGTAGAACGCTTCGTCCGCGGAAATCAGTGATCCATCTGGATTTAAGCAAACAAAAGAGAAATCCTCCTCGTCTTCCTCTTCCTCTTCCCCTTCATCCTTTCCTTCCTCTGGCTCTTGTTCATTACTCTGCCATTGCTCGTTCTCAGGCAGATTGTCAAAGCCAACCTCTTTCACTTTCAGCTTGGACCCAAAATCATTGCTCAAATTCTCCGCAAACTCGTCACCGGAGTAGTGATTGGAACTGAAGGTCAGCGAACCAACTTCCATCCTCAAACAAACACAACAACCCTTTTCAACTCTCTCTGGAAAACGATCAAATCAACCAAATAAATACATCCTTTCCTATGGATTTTGTTAGGTTAAAAAGGGTGGTGGTGGGTCGCCGCCGGAATCAGAGAAAAATTCGGATGAGCTTCAAGCTGTGAAAAAATGAACTGTTTTTAATGAAGTTCTATATGGAGGCGATGATATAAAAGGGAAGGAAATCCACAATAATATGCGAATAAGTATGAAAGTACTGTTTGGTTGGTAGTAATGATATTTTTTAGTTAAATTATAAAAATAAATTTGAAATTTATTTTTAAAAAAAAGTTATAAATAGTTTAAATAATGCAAAAAATAATTGGAGTTTAATATCTATTTTTTTTTCTTACTAGAAAAAAAATCAAAGAATACATATTCTTTTGAAAAAAAGAAAATATAATATCCCTTAATTTAATATAGAAATTTATTTCATAAAAAAAATATAAAAATTATCAACATTTAAAAAAAAAGTACAGATAAATATATGAATTTTATGATTTTTCTATTGAAAGATGCATGCTTTGTCAATTTCTAAATAAAACATTAAATTTTTTATTTTTTATTTAATGATATCAATTTTATATTTTTTATATTTAAAAATTAATTAAATAATGATGCTTATGTGGGAAAAGATTTTTTTAAACATTCAATTAATTTTTAATTAAAAAACATGAAGTTAACATCCAAAAAATAAAAAAATTGAAAGTTTAACTTTTTATTTTAAAAATTGATAAAATTTACATTATTAAATAAAAAATAATAAAATTTATATTTTTATCTGTATATTTTATCATTATCACTAGTTTAGCAAGTTTTTCAAATTTACTTTAATCAAAGAATAATCATTACAAATATTACCTAAAATTATTTTTAGATCAGCAATTGAGTCTTTTTATGATGGCAATTGAACCCTTCAACTTATTAACTTGGAAAAATAAGTCAAAAGTGGACTATGGGAAGCACACGAGGCATGTGATAGTTTTGCCTTATGGCTTACGTTGATATAGCCACAAATTTGATTAAAATAGTTTAAAAAAAACACATGAATAAGAAATGTCAATAAATTACTTCTTATGTAATGGATACAGTGAAAGAATAATCGATAATATATATATTTTGAGTTGTTATTTTACAGTATAGATTATATTATATTATAAAAAAATACCATTTAATGGAGAAAAAACTTTAATATTAAAAAAACCTACTCATATTCAATGATTAAAGTTGTATAATCGATTACATAATATTTTTTTAATATATTTTTTTTGATAAAGAGTAATAAATTTAAGAAGAGAAAAGGTGTGTCCAAGTTCAATGGTATAAGAGTAATATAATACCTTATCTATTGCCATTCATACTACCCAAAGGATATGCATAAAGGTTAAGGTAACTTATTGTTAATCAATAATCTTACAAGCATTAAAGATCACGATTCTTGCTTATCTTGTACCATATAAATTAGATTTTTTATTTTTTTTATTTTGATTGTATAGTAAAAAGCAAATATATATTTATAACTCGAATATAGAATTCCTTACTCTACTTAAATTAAAATTATTACTTAGCTATTTAAGTTGTAATGTTAGACTTTAGACTAATTTTTTGAGTGAATAAGTTTAGGGACTTAGTTCCCATCAAACATATTAGAAAGGAGAAATAAATTTTCAATAATTGCAACCTTTGAGGGTTTAGAGGCTTTCTTTCTACCGACGACTGGTGCTTGATTGACAAGTTTACAGCTGAAATACTTAACACGAGGAAGTCTGTGAGGTGTCCACGTGTGAATCTACAAGACTGTTGTCTGGCTTCTTAGGTCACCTGCAGGTAAGGTTCTCTATTCTAGAAAAGTCGATATATGGTATATGCCTGTATGGGTATGATTTTTGGTAAGCAAGCAAATATGGTATGGACATCTAGTTGGTTTTCAGCATTAATTGTATGTTGATTTTCCACCTTCGGGTCAACTGCATCCTCCCAGTTTGAGATATATTCTCATTTTTTTATGGGCAAGTTTTGAACCCGTTTATTGATAAATTGTTTTAAAAAAAAATTGTATGTTGATTTTTTCTTTTTTATTTGCTATTATAGTATCATTCGATTTTTTTTTTGTTGTACCTCTCATTTCATATCTTTTATCTTATTTTACTTGCATAGCATATGACTTAAATTTAAGATCTTTTGCATTTAATAAAATGATATAATCACTTAATCTATTTAATCTATTTAGGTCATTGACATAATATCATTGAATTTAGTTTACTCAAATATGAAAATTGTCATTTTTTAATTTTAAAGAGGCGCCTCACATGTTCCTTAATATATTAAAAAAAATTAAATTTTTTGTTTATTAATATTAAAATTTAAAATTATTTTAAAACATAATATTTATTTATTAATAAATTTGACTCTTAAAATATAATTGCATGATCTTAACGTTGCATCATGCCTGATGTAAGAAATACTGATTTAGTAGTATTAGTACACACCTTTATGATCATATATAGGTGATTTAGAGTATATTTGATTCCAAATATTTTAATTTTTTTATATTATTTATGTTTTATGAATTAAAATTTTTTTTATAAAAACTTATATTTTAAAATTTTTTTAACCTTAAAAAGATTTTAAACATTAAAAATTCAAAAGTTTCAAATCCAAACTTTTCATATTTTTTTTTTACTCATTTTTTTTATCTTTAAAAGTAATTTTTAAATTTTTTCTCCAATAAAAATTTAAATTTATCACTCATGAACAAATAGTACAAAAAAATAAAAACTCTTACCAACTAACTTAAACATGCTCTTAGTTTTATGTCACTAGATTTAGTTTTCTCGTATAGGAAAATTTTTATTTTTTTTTTTAATTTTAAAGAGGCACCTCATGTATTTTTTTAATATATTTAAAAAATTAAATTCTTTGTTTATTACTATTAAAATTTAAATTTAAAATTACTTTATAAAATAATATTTATTTATTAATAAATTTAATTCATAAAAT